GCTGAACCGTATGAAATGTGATGAATTTACACTGCTGAAGAAAGCCCTTTCTTTTCTACTTCAAGATTATATATGAGAAAATGTTGCACTTCCCCTCCTCCCACTCTAACGTCCTCTTCCTGATTGTTCTTACAGTGAAAAAGGTACAGCAAAACACATACCATTTTCTGGACTGGGCCTTATTCCTGTTTACTGGAGTGAAGTGCGTTGTCGTGGTGATGAAGAAAATATACTGTTATGTGAAAAAGACATCTGGCAGGATGGAACATGTCCTCAAAAAATGGCAGCTGCTGTCACATGTAGCTCTTCCCTGGGTAAAAAAAATACATATGGTTTGATGATTAACTCCTTACGTTATTTAAATAGAAGTAGTAATAATTACTCATTATTAAATCAGGAAAAAAAAATATTAAGACTTCTTGGAACAGGAAATTAAACAGATTGAATCATCGCATCATTAACTGTTTCAAATCCCTCTATGCTGTGCCAGCAACTATCTGAACCACTTTTTACCTTTCCATAATCAACAAGGAATTATTGCTTTGAGATGTAGGTTGTGAGAAAGAGTGAAGCAGTGAGAATCTCTGGCTGTAAAAGGATTGCTTCCCCTCACATTTTTTAAAACCTTATTTATTTATTTATTTACTTATTACTCTTTGGTAGCTACATATGCTACATGCCCATTGGTTAGCTTTTCTTGAACAGTAGGGAGGAGCAGCAATTTCACAAACAGGCTATGCCTTCTCCTTTGGTATAGAAGTGTTGGGATGACATTCCTTACTGTGAATGTGGATGACATTGCACAAGGAACTATAAAATTTTTGCCCTATTTTGCGTACATTTAAAACAGGTCAAAGTCTTCCTAGCTGAAGATTGCTACCTCACACATCACTCACACGAGTCCAAATGATATCGTTAGGAAAAAAGATATTATTAATGTTTTCAAGATTTTTCAGATTATTTTAATCAACATCCTCAACAGCAACTAAATGGGCAATTATGCCTAAACATCAGGTTTTAGATATTGCTGGCCTCAAGGAAGGCTAGGCTGGCAGTGCTGAGAAGCTGGCAATGGCAATCTCTTCAGTTGTAACCAAAACATGTATGGCTGCAGCCAGCTCTGTCCTGCCTTTCCTCTCCTACTTGCATTCCTATCCAAAGGCAGATGCGTTTTTGTCCTAAAGCTCCAATATTCATGAGGAATATTTTGATAAATGACTTTCAAAAAATCATTTTAGTCTAGATTTAGAGAACTATAGTGTAGTGTAAAGGGAGAATCATTTTAAGCTAGGAGACAAGTTGAAGGACCAAAGCAAGAGAAATAGTCTTGCCTAAAGAAAGTGAAAACTATTAATCTTAGACAATTAAATTGAGACTCCACAGTCAATGAGATTTGACTGCTCTGACTGAAATTACCAAAGTAATGAGAAAACATGAGGATGGATTTCTACTTCCGTGGCAATTAAAGAATTTTTGCCTCTTATGTCAGATTTTACTCTCTGGGACCAAGCCTATACAGAGCCAATCTTGCTCTTACTGGTAGAAATGCAGCTCTACTGACTGATTGTAGTATTTGACCTTACAGCTACAGCCCTAAGTATCTGTGAATGCTTTGACACTTAAGTAACTCAAGCTCAGCACGGTCATTTGTCTGTATAATATTCTTCAGCTATTGAGAGTGGAGCTTAGGGGAACTCATTTCGAAGAAGTTTAATTTCAGGTTTTCCATCTAACTAGGAAAAATAAAGTGTGGTTCTTGAGCGGTATCAGAGAAACCATTACGCCATCTTATTTTTTCTTTATTATCAGGATAACATTTTGTGAAGGAAATGACCTTTTCCTATATTCTATGTTTGATCACAGCCCCCGTCTTTACTCCGATCCGGCTGGCTGGTGGGAACAACCCTCACGAAGGAAGAGTAGAAGTCTACCATGCTGGCCAGTGGGGGACTGTCTGCGATGATCAGTGGGATGACGCAGATGCTGAAGTTGTCTGTCGGCAACTTGGCCTTGGGTCTGTTTTTCTACATATTTTCTACTCCAGCAGCAAAGCAGGAGAGCTAGTCAGATACATAGCTTGGAGTTGTCAAAAGATGCTCCTTTAAAATTGCACTAATATTCTGAAGCAGTAACTAAGTTTATTTATAGAAGGTTCAGGTACAGTGCCAATACTTTCAAGTCCCTGGAACTTTGATTTATAGGATCCAGTTTTCAGTGTCGTATGATAGGGGCAATTTTGTCTGTAGGACAGACAAAGGATCTGTCTCAGAATAAATCCTGACTTTTTAGTGAAAACTCACTACAATTTCAGTAAAGTTTCAATCAAAAAGCCTAGGTGAAGAAAAGGAAGTTGCTTTGATTGTTAAAATCCTGACATCCATTTTACTGAGGAGTCTCAACAGCCTCCTTGCCTTGGAATAAGAGCACTACTTTGTCAGAAAGGATATGTTTTTTGGCATGCCTGTGAGAATCTCTCAAGATTTGTTTAAGTAATGAGTCTCCAAAGATTGTCAGTTTGCATATACGGAGTAGAGATCTGTTTGAAGTTTTGACAGTTAAGCTTGTCGGCAATTCTGTCTGAACTAAGCATGGTCCATAATACAGTCACAGCAGCAGAACAGGATTTTCTTGCTCCTCTTCTGAACAGCCAGGGGTGATTTTGATACCACACAGAAGATAAGTATTCAGTATTTGAGGAAAGATGCTGCAGAAGTGGGAGGCAGAGAGGAGAACTGCTAGCTCAGAGAGGTAGGAGATGGGAACAACTGGGATGAAAGGCCAGATGAGTTTTAGAGGGAAAGAACTAGGAGCAAGATGCAGAGAAGATACTAAGATGTAAACCCAAGGAGAAGGGGATTATGTTTGAGACAGACTGGATGAGAACTAAGCAGGTCAGTGCAGAGGAGACTGGAACAGAACTCACCTGTCCAACCCTGCTGGGATTATGATGAATTAAAAGAAGTGGCACTGAAGGTAGCAAGCTCTGTGGCATTAATGGGTGGCCCCCAGAGTGTACTTGTTTTGTAACATGAAGCTGAGGCCTTGGACTGCTGGTGCCATCCAAATTAGCTCAAAAGGACGAGAACTGTGCAGTACTTAAAAAGCTTCTAGATCTCCTGGTGAGCTGTGTGGGAATCAACACAGTACTCTGACATCAGACTTCAATTTTTTCCCCAGTTTATTTTATGCTAGATTTCTATATTCCTGTGCATTTTCAATTGGGAATACCCAATAGAAAGTCTGTCTTCTTACAGGCCTTTTCTGCTTTTGAATTGGGCCACTATTAATCAGTTTGGGGAGTTACTAAGCTAAGCCTTCCGTTTCTGTATACCAATGACATCATGCTCTTAACCTGCCTCCTTACTGATTACACTAAAACATTCGATTATTTACATTTAATGTTCAGAAACTGCAGTTCTGAGATGCTTCTAATTTGATTCATTTTTCTGAGTAAATAAATTGTATTAAGATGGTGCTAAGTCTTTTTGAAATACGTCTATTCAGAAATATGTCTAGAATTTCTCAGGTAATCAAGATATCTTGACAAATGTGCTCATTACTGTGAAGTGAAATTTTACCAACGGTGGCAGCAGACCAGTTATGAAGTAATAAAAATAATCTAAATTTGCATATTGTTAATCCATCTGGAAATGTGCCACAAATTGTAAAAGTAAAGCGTCTCAGTAAGCAGCTTCCCCCACCCTTTCAACTTTTCTGTAGCACTCCTATAAAACTTCAGAATATTAATCTCCCATTAATAGGTGAAAAATAATGATAATTTCTTTTATTATTTGGTTTCATAAATACTTTTTGCTTGATACAAATTGTCCTTGTTATAGTAATGGGATGTGTTGTCTCTGCCTTATTGGAACTCCAGAGGATCTTACTAGATTGTGGTATAATTTGTTTTCAACATTCAGAGTAGTCAAGCATTTCTCTTGATTTCTGCCAGCTTCTTAATGAATAAGGATTTTTTTCTAACATCTTCTATACATTTGTACCAGCATCAGAATTAAAAAAATACAAGAAATAGAAACTATATATGAGAATTTTCTTTTTGTGTAAAGTTCATATATATGCAAATACTACTCAATAAACTTAGATGAAGGTCATTTATCTTCTAGACATAAATGTTCCAAAGTACAATCATCTTAAAAACTACCAGTAAACCAGGCTTCCTGTAGTAAGCCTATAATATATTTAGGGTAATATTAATAAAAATAGGTATCCTGAAGGTAGGCTCTTCAGTCCATATTTATTCAATTCTACAAAAATAGCCTGAAGTGCTCAGAACTCACAGAGCCTATCTTGGTACACCAGAAAGATACGCTGGCGAACCAAGACATTTTTATTTATTTAGATGGGATACCTAGATTTGAAATAAGCATTACCCTTAGTGTATCCTATGGATTATATTTTCTTAGTTTACTATATAGTCATTCACAGTTTCAACCAGTTTGAAAAGCAGCTCTTTATGAAATGTTAGAGTTGGAGGACTTGGCTCTTCCTCCCATTACCAGCATTGCAAAATACAAGTGTTCAGTAAATGAATGCTACATATAAAAATGCATGGTTACTTAACAAACTAAATGAAAGAACAGTAAGGGCAATCAGGAAATGTTTGCAAATCTCACGGAAAAATATCATGTCCTATCTATTAAAATTCTTCTTGGCCTTGCTAAAGAAAAAAATTAGACCAAGATACCTGTTAATATGTTATTTGGAATTAGGAAGGTCCTTCGGAAGAAAAGGTAATGTCTACTTAAAAATCTCTCTCAAAAATAAGGTACTAACTTCAGCCTGAAGCTACGTGTTTTGCTAAAACGTTGCCTGCTGAGCGTTTCAGGATATTTTTGGTTTGCTTACCTGCTTCTTTGAAGCAATCACAGATTATAATTCTTCTCCCTACTGAGTAAATAAGACCTGCTTTTGATATTTTCCATGTTCTCCAGCACTTGAGGAAGGCATCAGGTCATCAAAGAAACAGTCTGAAAATTAACAGTGCATTTTCAAGATTAAAAGCACATTAGCTTGAAAATATTAAAAACAAATTGTTTTTAAACAAAATGAAAATGCAAAACACAGATTATTTAATTTACCTTTCTTGTGTGCGCTTTTATTTACTGAGCACTACAATCTACAGTGTATACCATGAATTTCCACATCCTTCCTTTTAATAGGACTTTTTCCTGATCCTAATTTAATTTTTATAAGCCTCTTACTGTTGTTATTTTTCTCATACCCCTTTACTGTTTATCAAGAATCTGTATGATGGCTAATTGTAAATTTAGTATTGTTTTCCTTTAAAAAATAAAGAGAGAGAACAGAGATTGTTACGTATTTATACAAAGCACTAGAAATAAAATCCGCATCTCTCTAAATCCATACATGGATTAATGAGTCAGTGCCTTAAAAACATGAACTACTGCAATTTACATTAAAAAAAAAAATTACAGCAATGCACTATTCTGACACAGTCTCAAAAGCCAGTTAAGAGTTTGAATGATTACATCCCGAAACAAAATAGTCAAGACCTGTCACATTTTCAGTACAAGCTGAACATACCATTCTCATTAGGTGTTATGTGACAATATATGGCTGGTAGTGGAAAGCTCTCTTCAAAGCAATTAATAATTAGTATAAAGCCCTGCATCCAAACTGTATGTTAACTAATTTAAACTAATCCTTTAGACAGGTTTCATTACAGTAAAAAATTTAGATAGACATTTCAATCTTACAAGTTGAAAAAGAAGACATATTGAAAATACTCCTGTAAAAACCAGACTGGATATATGAACAGAGAAACTATTGAGTGGAAAGAAACCAAACCATGAAAAGCATTTACATATGAAAGATCCCGTGTCTTAAACAGAACTGGAAAAATCCTGATAGATCATCAAGTGTTAAACACTGTATAATTTCTGTAATGCTGAAACAATGGAGCATTTTCAATTTATGTAGGCTTTTGTGCTCAAAATGCTCTATGGTGACATAAAGAGTATAACACACACAAGGCTAGTCATTGGTCTGCTTTCTGTTCTTATTTCTATCACTGATTGGTGGTATGATATGGTCAAGTCACTTAAGATCTCTCTGCTGTGTTTTTTACATGACTAAATGGGGAACAATCATTTTTATCTGCCTCATCTGGGTGTTTGAGATTTGATGAATGTGCTTTGAGGACAACAGGTGAAAGTCACTGTGGAAATGTATATCAGAGTATTTTTACTACATATGAACATTAAATAAACTTAAAATTAGAATCCTCATACCCAAGCTGTACATCTATAATCTCTTCTAGGAAAGTTATGCTTAAAAATCAAAAGGGACGGAAAAGGAAAATCTCATCGATACAAGGCAATAGCAATTGATGTTCTAAGTATGTTCCAACCGTGGAAGTGTGGAAACGGTATGTTTAAGTCGCTCGCTCCATAGCCTCAGCTGAGACTGAAGCTGACTGTGGAAGCACATCACACGACATGACAGAACGTGGGCTGCACTGTCAATTACCAGTGCAGCGGCTAGTCAGGCAGTCCCATCTGCTATTTTAGAAGCTGGATATGCAATGTTTTAGCTCTTCCCAGCGAGTCCCAGACTCTTCAGCTTGCTGCTTCTTGACCGGGTGTTTGTTATATTTCAACAGGGGTGTTGCCAAGGCGTGGAGCCAGGCTTACTTCGGAGAAGGCTCAGGCCCGGTGCTGCTGGATGAGGTGCGGTGCACGGGAAATGAACTATCTATAGAACAGTGTCCGAAAAGCTCCTGGCGAGAACACAACTGCGGCCACAAAGAAGATGCTGGTGTTTCCTGCACACCTCTCACAGGTACTTCAATTACTAGTAATCACGCAGGAAAACAGTAACAAATGCAGAGTTCACAGCTCTGGAAGAAGAATTTTTAAGTTTGCAGATGCACAAAACCCCACAGTAATAAAGTGTTCTGGCAGTATCAGAATGAACCAGCTGTTGGCTGTGGAACTTTTACGGGTACAGAAAATCTCATTACTCAACACAAAGCCTTGGTTCCTCAGTAACATGCTAACTGCCACTTTCTATGTGGGGCATGCCTTAACTGTGTATCACATCTATCAATGGCAGTAAGCATTCCACCATAAAAGCAATGGGAAATAACAGAATATACAAAGAAAAAGATAAGGTGTATATACAGTGAAATCACGTAATCAGAGCCCACTCCTGTGGCCTTGGCATGTAATAAGGGCTTGGAAGATCAATATCTTGTGCTATTTCTCTTGCACTTAAGCATCTGCATTATGCAACACTTCACAGCTGAGCGGGTGCATTATGGCATTTCTTTGATCTTCTCATTAAATGACCCCTGGTGATCAGCACCTGATTTAGGAGTCTAATATTCTGATCAGATGCAGTAAATGAAATGTTATTAATTTTGTTTTAGAACAATAACTGGACCTAAGAAAAACTGATTTTTGTTTTTGTTTTTCCTTACTTGTTAATGACACAGATGGTGCATTAAGGCTAACAAGTGGGAAAGGCAGTCATGAGGGACGCCTGGAGGTCTATTATACTGGGCAGTGGGGCACAATCTGCGATGATGGGTGGACAGAGCTGAATACACAGGTGGTTTGCCGGCAGCTGGGATTTAAGTAAGGTTACTTGATATTAGATATCTGACTCTTTGACTTGACAATGATGACATTTACATGAGCCCTACATTATTCAAGAGTCTCTTTTTTTTAATATTAGCTGAGTGCTTCATAGAAACTACTGAGTTAAAATCCATTAAACCCTGCTTCCCTCAGTCTCAAAGAGGTATTTATGGCCTCAGTTTAGGTAGAAGAAAAAGCTTCAACTGAGGTTGTGATTCAGCAGCCTTTATTCACGGAATTCCTTCCAATCATCTTTTTGGCTAACTGAGATCAATGCATACACTATAGAGAAAAACTGATGTTGTATTCTATTTTGCCTATAAAAGTCTGATTCTTCAAAACCTTTGCTTGGCAAACAGTCATTAAAAATCACAGACATTTTCAAGGTTTAAGTGCTTCTAGATCTACCTCAGAAAAACCCACAGTCTGGCCCTGGGACACTGTCATGTATCAAAAAGCATATTTTAGAAAAAAATCCCATTAGAGTTTCATGCATTCACTCTTCACTACTCTTCCTACTGACTGTGGCTACAAAGATACGCTCTCACTAGGTAGTTGTTGTCTTGCCTTCAGATTATAACAGCTCACATTCAAAAAGGAATTTTGTCTCATTTTCCCCAGACACTGACATTTAAATGCATATATAATACTAAGAACACGCTTAAGTCTCAAAGGCAGTGAGACAGCCATATGCTTGGTTCAAGGGAGGCCTTAATCAAAGGTATTACACTCCCAAGTTTGTACTAATGTAACAGTAATTCCTTAGAAAAACATTACCAAACAAGCAGCATATGGTGCTTGCATTGAATTTAATGCTAACTGAACCTGCTGTGTCACGGTTAACACTGTTTACTGTTACTACCTGAGAAACCTTTATTTCTTCACAAATAATTTATTTCCTTTCTAGTGCTTAAGTATCACACGCCCTCTAATCACTGTGGACCAGAACGTTATGTATACTTTATGTGTTATGCAGGTATGGAAAAAGTGCACCTGAGAGCTACTCAGAAGGCAGCCCTGGGCCCATCTGGTTGGATGATGTCAGCTGCTCAGGGAAGGAGACAAACCTTCTGCAGTGCTCAAGGAGGGAGTGGGGAAAGCACGACTGCAACCATCGGGAGGATGTCAGACTCGTTTGCCATCCAGATAACGACAGCCATAAACTCTCACTTGGTAAGGCATCTCTTTGGTAAAGTCACAGTGTGAGTATTGCGGTGGGTGCAGATCCGAGCAAAGTATAGTATACTTAAGGATGCTCAAAATCTTAATATTTGGCAGATGTGTGCAAAGAAGGAATAGGAAGGGGAAAAAAGCTCACTTTTCTCCTGAAGATCATAGGAAGTAATCAAACTTTGTTTGAAGGAACATGAAAAGCCAGAATGTTAAAGATCAACACAATTTTGTAAGGTAACAAAGTCAGATTCCAGAGATCCTGTTCTCTCAGTCTTCACCAGATTTTAGACCTACTCAGCACTTCCTAATGGTACACTACACTTCACTCAGCACTCTCCAAGTTTTAAGGAGCTTTCTCATGCTATCGAAAGTTGGCGACGTACCCAAACACTGAGGAATATAAGTCAATAGCATATCCTCCTATGGCCTCACATTCAGACAATCTGAACTAAGAGATATGGAGAAAGAGGGGAAGTTCAGGGATAGCAAGAAGGGTGAAAAGCATGGAATTATTTCTGTATTACTGTTGCCTATCATTTATATTGTGCCTGGATGAATGGGCCCCACTTGCTGACCAGGACAGAACGATACTACAAACACAAATCAAAGAGCCAGTTCCAATGTCAAAAAGCCTACAAACTTGTATGAAAAAAGAATAAAAAGATAAGAAATGAGAGAAAAATACTAATTACATAGTGGCATTGTAGAACAAAATATATACAAATGAATTCCAAAGATTCCTAAATCCACATGTAGATAATTAAACAAGAATTCTGGCTATCAGATACACACAGTAAAAACTACAGGGGAACAATGGGTTGCTCAGCAATTCTGAAAAACAGTTTCATTTTTAAAATTTGCTACATACAAAGTTTGTAGCTTGTCAGTAGGTAGCCTTTTACAAAATTGTTGCCAATATTCTTTAGCTTACCCAAGCATATTTTAGTCGATTTTGAAATTAGAATTATAACTAGTGGAGTTAGATTCACAGCTTCTACTGAAACGTAATGGATTTGTATGCCTGAGTGCCTGAAGTTCTCTGGAAATTACAGACTGAAGGTCTATCCTGCGAACTAAGACATGGATTTACTGCTTGACATTGCTACCTGTTACAACAACAATCAGCACTTCCACATGTACTTTTCTAGTCTCTCCCTCTTTATAGTCTTTTTCTTTACAGCCTTTTGACCTCTCACAATCCAATGAATGTTTTATGTTGCAGTACAGCTCCATTATGTGTAGATGATGTCAAATCATATTTGGTAGAAAGAATTTTCTCAGACCAAAAATAACAGGAATTCAAATCATGACTGCTGTCTTTACAGATGCAAACCATCTGTGCTGCTTTGCTCAAATTCCTATAAAATATAATCTTAGCTGAAGGAGGTCTGGTTCAGATAAATGGATCCATATGGTAACATTCTCTCATCCCCCATTACCAGAAAGTTATATTAATTTTGTGCTCATAAATATTTCTTTTTTTTCCTGAAACACAAGAAGATGAGATAACAATAAAATAGGTATACTGTATCCTTAATATCCCATGCCTCTAGCTGGGTAATGTAAGTGTAATTTTCACCTAAATCATATTCTTCCAGAATAACGTATCATTTCAACAAGAAAATGAAAACAGCGTATCTGACATTTCCTATGAGATTTCTGATTGGAAAGTGGACAAAGACTCTATTGTTACCATTTACTTCCCAGCATTTGAAGAAGCCTTTTTTCTCCCCGTAAGGATGAATTCAGTAGAAAAATATGAGAAATTAGTAGATGTTATGACTTGAGGAAATACAGACATTAAGGAACACTAAAAATGAGACAGAATACACTACAGTAACTACAACATTTGCTTAGTATGTAAGATCATGACAATGTAGCTAAACAGAAAGTTGGTGAAGTTAATTCATTTAACTGTCCAGACAGTACGAACTCCAGTATAAACAATATGCTTTAAATGACATTTGAAGCAAACAGACTTTGTTTTTAAATCTTTCCTAATTAATGAATTAGGCCAGATTTAACTAGCGCTGATCCAGAGTAAGGTTTGGTATACAAAAGCTATTCATACCCTAAATTAATCTGAATTAAATATCAAATGCAAATGTCCCGAAATACTGCTATATTTAAGAGCGTAATTAAGTAATTTCTCATCCTTAGAGATTTAGAAAAGATTAGGAACAGGTTAGAAGAATGAGGAACAGTGTTTCCAATTATTCTAAAACCAAACTCTCATCAGTGTATTAAGGATTATAAAGTATGACATACTAAAAGATTTAGAAGGTGATTCTCACTTAAACATTATAAAGAGGCCTCAGAGGAATTCATAACTGTTTTAAGGCTACTTGCATTGCTAGCACGCTAGAAAGGAGTTTTAACCTAAGTGAGAACCAAATATGTACTTTGCTTAATGATTCAAAAATAACTACAGGCCAAGCACTGAACCAACCATGATTAATTAAGTCTGACTAATCCACATAAGTGAGATTTTGTATTATGAACATATCTGAACAAGCAATCAATTTAAATTGCTAGAAAAATAACCACACATATCAGTCTAGAATAACATGCTGTAGAACATTATGCTATCACACAAAATACGCTACAGAACAGCACACGTAATGATAAGTAGTAATTGAAGTTCAACAACGCTGCACTTTTTTGCTGAGATAGTGGTTAAGAGGAGTGGTAGCAACCAGTTTGAGAATGGATTTATGAATTGAGATACAGCCAAATTCACCCATAAAGTTTCTGTAAGGAAAATGTGTCCATCTTGTATGGGTATCATATCAAAGTTACCTCGTGTGTTTTCTGCCTTTAGCGGGAGAATTGTTTTGTGTCCATTGTGGTCAAATTCTGAGCTATGTCACATATTTGTACAAAATGAAAGAACCAGATGAACTCTGGAGTTCAAAATACAGTATTATTTCATATTTGTCTTGTAATTTGTACAAACTGCTTCCTTTTGCCAGCCAGGAAAAATATGACTACTTTAACAGCTGATATTAGGCTTGTTGAACATAAACATCAGTTGACCCTATATACTGAACTTGATGAAAATGACTTAAAGTACTAGTTCTTGCTTCTGTTGTTGTGAGTTGACAGCAGTAATTTATTCCCAGGTCCTCCCATCAGGCTGATGGATGGCGAGAATAAGAAGGAAGGACGTGTAGAGATTTTTATCAATGGCCAGTGGGGCACAATTTGTGATGATGGATGGTCTGATAAGGATGCAGCTGTAGTCTGTCGACAGCTTGGCTACAAGTAAGACAACTCATTAAGCTGTTTCTCAAATTATCTGTTTGCTGTATCTAAAAATGTTAAGTTTCTGCAACTGAATATCACCAACATATGTCTGATAACATAATATATGCCTTTTAAAACTTGTCTGGCATTTTTTTTTAGAAAAGTGTACTTATACTATTCATATAAGAAGTAGTAAGGCTATGTCTTCAAAGGAGTGTTCATTAACTAGCATAACTGGGAAAAGAAATTTTAATATTCAAAGGCGTATCACAGTCTGACTGGCAACTGAAATGCAAGTTAATGCTAGTTATTAAATATTTTTTCAGAAATTAAATATTCCAAATTACTAAGCTGTTGACTAAATACTGTATTTTATTTGTCACTTATGGTGCTACATGTCTATATGATATAAATATATTACACTTTTTTTTTCTTACACTTAGTTGCACTAATGTAACTGAGAAGGGAATTTGATTTAGTGTATCTGCTCTATGCTCTTTGCCATTCAAACTGTTCTTAATTTACTTCTTTCATCTTCTGTCTTCAGATTTCTAAACATTTTTAAAAAGTTAAGAGTGAAATTTCTAATTTGGAAAAAATGAGGGAAACTAATATTAACATCTAGAATACCACAGATGATTACATATTCTGTGAACTATGTAGACTCCCTTTTTTGTTTCTGATTTTGTGTGAGAGCTCTGTGTTTCACCATACTTAACTGACAATTTCCATTTGTGTAACAATTTTAATCCTGAGTCATCTTTAGTCAAAAGAAAAACTTAAGGAACCTAAATTGTAGCGCTTTAGTGATTCGATGTAACAGTATACATAGAAAAAACTTGGGAACTTAAAATGCCTTTTTCATTACATTAGCAAAGAAAATACAAATATTCAGAACCTAGACGTGGGTTACCACAGTTTACTGAAATTATCAGGAATTTGGCTAAAATTTCAGGAGTAATGGTTGTATTGTTTCAAAAAGTTCTTGATCCATTTTAATTGAAAGGTATAATTTTGCAAATTGATAGTATTTATCTTTTGTGAACCTTAATGATGACTTTGAAATCCTTATAGGTTCGGACATAACTGTTAAAAAATTTAATGAAATATAGCAACAGGTCAGTGTCCTCTGTCACAAGCTGCAGACATGATTTCTGCAGATTCACATGCAGGCGCACCAGCTACTGCATTCCTAATTCCACATCTTTTTTCCTTCATTTACTGATCTGGCTTGACTTGATGTAGCTTGGAGGTTTGATAAAACTGTTATACAAAGGATTATGGCTTTAGCCTGCATGACAGTAATTTGAATAAGCTTCATTTAATATAGGAATAGACCTGACAGGACAAAACCACCCTCTAATTAAAACTACGGCAATGCATATGTGTCACTTTTGAACTAAGTTGCTTAATCAGGCTTACATCACCAAGCAATTTTTTTCTGGATACTTAAGAGCAGTAAAGATATAACAACTATAGGGCAGACATATAAATAGCAGAATTAATGAGCTGAAAAATATCCAGAACACTAGTGAAATATAACAGAAAACTAGTGAAATATCTTCTCTGAGTGTATCAGTAAAGAAATCTGAGCTTAAGAAATACAAATCATGTTATCTGTTTGCTGTGTCTAACAATGTGAAGTTTGTGCAACTGAATATCATCAGACTATGTCTGAACACATATGCCTTTTAAAAATTGTCTGGTACTCATTTAGTAAAGTGTATTTATAAGTAGTAGTAGACTATGGCTTCAAAACTATAAAACTTGACTTGTATTATCTCCCACTGAATCATGTAGTCTGCTTCATCCTCAGCCTCTCTGGCCTTTTGTATGTCTCCCTCACATGATCAAACTCAACCCCTTATCCCCACCTTCTGTTTTTAAATCTCTGCAAGGACAGACAGTTGGCTGGATTCTCAATTTGTGTCATGTCAGACTGGGGGGTTAAGATTACAGGATACAACAGAGCACGTTTCCTGAAGGACTAGGGATAGACACATTTCAGAAATCTAAAATTAGGTTCCAGAAATTGGGAGAGCTTGTCGGAAATGCTGGATCTTGGTGACCCTATGTCTAGACAATTGCATTCCACAAACCTGACTATACCGTGACATGCACTGATGAGCTGGAATTGCTTCTGGGCCTAGGAGTTCATGCACAGATCTTTTTGCTGAAGTTCAAATTACATTCAGTGGTGACTTGACTGTTCCAAAGTAAGGCAGGGACTTTTGGGTTCAGGCACCTGAACTTGAAGGTTGATGAACGTTGTTTCTTTAGAAATAAACACATCATGACCTTTTCCTGGGAGGAGTTCAAAAAGCACCTAATACCAAAGTTGACATCAGTTTTCATTAAGACTGATCACAAAACTAAACAGCATCATTCAACTCCCTTTACAATGCTATGTTTAATACTCAAGTCTTTCCTACTGTGGAATTACATTCCTTGGGGAAAAAAAAAAAAAAAAAATCACACATTATTACAAATGAGAGAAAAGACTGCCTTAAAAAGGAAGAGTTGTGTAAGCAAAAGGTAAACACTGAGAAAATGGACTGAGTTTTTCCTGCATGTATTATTCATATTGTCAATGCTTATCTGTACATTTATTTTATGAAATCATGCTTTGCAACATTCTCAGCCATTTACTAGGGTTCATTCTGACTGAAATAAGAAAATCCCTGAGCTGGCAAAATCACTAGGTTCAAAGCAAATGCTAGTTTTAAAGAAGTCTCATTAAGCCAGTTTGTCAAATCCACAATTAATGATGTTAGAAAAACATAATACAAAGAACATTAGAGAACAGCCCTACTGATTGGCTAAAACCAGTCATGAAAACATAAAAATAATTAATAGCACCCTAATCAAAGTATATTTGTAGCAAGATGAACATTAAGAGAACACACACCTTTTCTGAAGTACTATCTACTATGTGATTGGGTTTAACATACAAAAGTATTTTGACAGAATGAGTAAAGAGCAAAAGACAGTTTTAGAAGCTCTTGCATTTTAGTGAATTAAGTGGTCCACTAAAATTGGACCCCTTTCATTTAGGGCAGGCTTGTAAGAATGCACATGTGGCACACATACACACCCCAAATGAGCAAATATCCCACCATTAGTGCTCCAAAAATGATCTACTACTGG